GGGGGGTGCTTTAGTCACTCGGCTTTAGTCTACGCTGTAATATACACTCTAACAAGGTTTTACTTTTGCATAAAACTCGTGAAAAAGTTGCCTAAAAACATTTCATACTCTGTATAACACAAACGCACGCACACACCTACCTTTGTACCGGCTGCTGTGTTAGCTTCCTGTTAGCTTCCTGCTAGCTGTGAGGTGGTTTTTCCTCTATCGTCTTGGCAGTAAAAGGGGATAAATGTACATTTCCCTTTTGTAACCTCTGTCTTCTCATTTCTGATGCTCTTGAATATCGTCAGGTTATAAATGCCGATTACAAACGCAAGCGTGAGATTTTATAGCTAAGTTTTGCCTGTAATGATCCACTGCTGTCACCTCCTCATCCAAAGGAAAAAGGATAAAAACTAACTACTCTATTGTACCTACTGGTTAGTTGACACAACGGCACACGACAGAACTTGTGTTTTATACCAGTAACTCACAGATGCTTTAACTTTTGTGACTTTTTCACGGAGTTGTATTAGGAGCTTACACTAAAAACATAGGCAGTAAGCAGGAAGTGGAAGGGATGTGCGTGGCCAGAATTTTACCGGAAATAATAATGACCGTGGCATATAGGCTATTAAAACTGTGAGACTCTGTTTGGAAACCTCAGACACCCATGCTTTGAACTAAAGAGGAGAGAGACTGTCCTGTTATCAGCACACAATTAAAAACATATTTTCTAATGGTAGAGGGGTGCATTAGTGCTCACGTCATGGTCTGCTTACTGGTTCTCACAGGTTTTACAACATCTGTTCTCATCCAGCTGGCAACAGCTACTAATAGATGTGTTTCTGCTCAAAGTTCACAATAACCTTTTTTTAAATATCGATAAATGGTGCATTTGATATGTTTACTGCGTTCGACTGTAAATCAAAAACAGGTCTCAAAACATTGTTATTGCAATTTTCAGAATGTTTTTCAAAAGGTGAAGCAAACCTCTTGCTTTAATGAATTTTTGCAGTGATTCTCGTCTGTCTCTTGTGTTAATGTTTACTGCGTGGTGTATCAGATGACGGCGGGTCGTTGTCACACTCTGTTATCACCTGTTACTGAGGAGTCTGGAGAGGAGGCGACTATCAGTGAGGTGTCCTCTTCTCCTCTGTGTCGTTCTCCTTCACCTGTTGTTTCCATTGAAGGAGCTGTCGCAAAGGTATCTGCCTTCAACATTCGCCTGAACATTTCTTACAATCTTCCTTCTTCTTCTTCAGCATTTTTAAAAATTTTCTCCTTTCTCTGGATTCTCTCGTTTAATTGTGCAGTTAGTGAAAAAGACGAACCAAAACCTAAAGAAACTCTGAGTCTTAAATTAACAGTCTTTTATCTTGAAAGTAATTAATATTTACTGCCACCTTTTGTACTACTGAATAATATTATTCATTTAAGGTTTATGGAGTAGCAGCTGAACGTCCTTCATATCAAGTTTTAACTTAAAACTGACTGAATTACAGACATTTGTCTGTTTATGATCACTTAGTCATTGCGACCATCTTGAATAGTTTTGATGCCAAAGGTTCTTAAAGGGGCAATATTATGTGTTTCTCAGGCATATATTTAAATACTATACCATAATAAAGTATCTATGTCACCTTTAGTTGTTATTAAAATGCTGTTTTATGTTTAAATAGAAAATAAACTTATCTTCTCATCACTTCCTCTTCTAAACGCCTTGAAATTGACCTCTGTCTCTTTAAGAACCACCTTCAGCTTCTGTCCCGCCCATTTCAGTGAGGGGGGGTGGGGGGCTATGATGCAGTTTACTTGGCATCTGAAAATACATTTCCTCAAAGTTTTTTTAATCTGAAAAGAGCTTCACTGTGTGTGTTGGGAGCTCAGCAGACAGTTTCACTTTCACTTTCACCCGAGAGCCGAGAAGGGGTCATCTGTGGCATCAAAGTGGGCGTGTCACAAGAGTGGGCGTGTCCAAAGCAAAAACACTGTGGGCTACGAGGCCTACATGACGGTATCCTTAGATCCTGCTTGACATCTATACAGCCTGGCCCTGACCCCAACACTAAGGTTAACCAGGAGAAATGTGACCCAAGTAGGGTTCTCCACAAAAAGTGGTGCCGTACAGTAACGCCCCTTTTGTTCTTGTCCAATCAGGTGGTGCCGTACGGTGATGCCCCTTTTTTGCTTGTCCAGTTAGGTGTGTCCCTTTAACAAAATCCGTCAAATCAGGTGTGTCGCTTTAGAATCGCCTTTCATTGGGACACGCCCACTCGTCCGCAGAGACCCCTACTTGCGAGAGCCTGCAAGAGTCATTGGTGGGGTATGTGGGTGGGGGGTGGGGTTCTGCCATGAGGAAGAGGTCAGCTTAAAGACACGTCCCAGAGGAGGAGATTGTCCCAAATGGACACAACCCAGAGGCGTTTCTGGTCCCCACCTGTCATTTTGCTCCTCAGCATGGCTTCCTAAAAACGCTGCAGGATTTCTCAAACATGATGAATGAGTCAGAGCAAGGCTTTGGACATGTTTTTTATGAGAGTATAACATTATAACATGATATAAAACTCAAAAAAGTTGATTTTACATGATATTGCCCCTTTATTTTGCAACTTAACGTTTAATAAATGACGTTAGTTTCATTCAAACTTCCTATGGTTCATGAAATATTTTGCTAACAGAAGTCCACCATTGCTTTTCAGTGGCAGGCGACATTAATTTCATGTTTCTGTGGTACCATGAGTTTTATAAATGAGTTGAAATTGCAGTTTGAATGTTTTAGGTTGGACATGAAACTCTGATGAGAGCTCCGATTCAAGAGTTGTACGACCCAAGCTTTGAGTCTGTGGCCAACCTGGACGACCTGCAGCGCTCATGGGAGACTTTAAAGAATGTGGTACGTGGAAAAATACACGACTTGATGTTTGTCTAAACATGTTGTGGTTTATAATCAGCTCCAAACATTTAACAGGGTCTTAACGTATAAATGTTTATAGGACATAAGTTCTCATTATAAAAAATATATTTCATAAAGATTTCAAACAGAACTGTTGTGATGTCGATTATTCTGCCTTTTCACCTATTTAGATTTATAATGCCTATTTGTGTTGTGATCTACTGCCTGTCTTTTTTCTTTCTTTTTTGTATCATTTGTTTCACTTTGCAGCTGAAAAGTGCTATATAGATAAATTATACCTTATCTAAAGCACAAAAAAATGTTTCTGCTTTTGTTGGAATATTTAAAGTGATCCATGATTAGTTGTAACATTAGACTTTATTTGATAAACATATATTTTAACTGTAAAATGAAGACTGTTTAGTTTTGTAAATTTTTTAAAATATATTTTTACACGGATGGAGCCATTTTATTTACACGCAAAGCATTCTGGGTAAATGATGACATGGATAGGTCCTCGGTGCGACCAAGCATGTCATCATTTACCCAGAATGCTTTGCGTGTAAATAAAATGGCTCCATCCGTGTAAAAATATATTTTAACATGGATATAACTCGCTGCTAGCGAGCTATATCCACCCTGAAGGTTAATCTTGGACAATATCTGATGATCGACTCTTTTAAATGAAACCAGAGAGCGTTGACAG